TGTGGTTTCAGCTTAACAAGTGTTTGGTCGGACTATCGAACAGTTAACTTGGTAACCACAAGGTTCTAAATTTGACCTTTCGTGGGAGCTGGCTTACAATGATGGATAGGATTAGTTGGTAATGTTAAATGGATTTCTAGTTGGATTTGGGTACCTACATACAATGTTAAATGGGAATAAGATGGCTAGCGGTAACATGGTTCGGGTAGTCTTATAGCTGTTGAGACATAAATGTGCTATCCAACTATTAGGTTAAGCTTTTAGTTGAGATGTGGTACATACTTTAATTTGGTATAAGAACCATGCCAAAGGTCATAAATTTGAATTTCCGCGTCTCCAACTACTTCAATTAGCTAATTGGGTTAGACTTGAGAGTTCGGAAATGGGCATATATCATATATTTTACTCATAGACCTTACTAAATTATCAACGAATATTTTTCAATTCCCAACTTCTTAAATACTTTTTCGATTCCCAACTTTTTAAATGTGCCATACAGCTAAAATAAGTGTGTATAGTGAGTGTACTCTTATTGAAATCTTATATAAAATATAGCAAATTATTAAAGCTATTGTAAAGATATATTCCTTATTTTGGTTACTTTTCTGGATACTCTTCACCACTCACAATTTTTTAAATATATTTTTTTAAAAAGCCATCTTCATTATTGGATGGTCAAATTAATACAATTGTTTGATATAATTTATGCTTAATAAAAGTTAATCTTCATTGTGTTTTTGGTCAAATTTATGCAACTTAATGCTACAAGCTCCAAAACGTCTAAAATCTAGCCTGTCCCAATGAGGTGATCTCATTTGATTTTGTTTGTTCATCTAAATCTATTAGAAAATTTGCATAATCCATCACGAGAAAAGTTTTGATACAAATTATTTGGGCACATGACATTGCTTTTCTCCAAAATGTGATTTTGGTTTTATTGGGGTGTGACAAAGATGTATAAAGTATAAGCTTTTTGTCTTGGGTGGTTGGGTTCATGGTTAAAGTGGGTAGGGTTGACCAATAGTTTTTATGTGAAACTATGTGGACTTTGAGAGGGACTTAAAGTTGTGAATGGAAAATATATGAAATTTGACAATGTTAAATATTGAAACACTAGTAAATGTTTAATTTCTGTCACGAACATTAGAGGTTTGAGTTTCGATTATGTTTATTGTGTACAAAAGTGTACAATTTAAAGAGTTAAAGTCAGTTCCCTTTCTTCATAAAAGAGAAGTATTTATATTACAATTAGCACGTGTGACAATAATTTATTTGTAGACACTTGTGACTTAAGGTAAGATGCAATTATCACTCGCTAATTCTTGCCCTCGGTTGGTTCAATCGTTATGCCATGGAACCGTGTTCACCATCTATATTTTTTTGTGGTGTTAGTGCACCGTTATCTTTTTTTTTTTTTTTTTAATTAATCGCGTGACTTTTCTTCTTCATTTTCACATTTCGCGGTTTCACTTTAATTTGAGGTGAGCAATGATTTCGGACATTTATAAATTATGAATCCATGTCTGCACATTCACTTTGGAACCATGCCTACACATTCCCGTCCGAAACCATGGCTGCTCCTCTGTAGCGCAAGCTTCTTCAACATTCATAAATTATGAATTTACTGTTATGAGATTATGAATTTTTCTGTTATGAGATTATGAATTTACAGTAAATTCATAATCTCATAACAGAAAATTCATAATTTAATAAATGTTTTTCTTTTATGAGATTATGAATTTACAGTACATTCATAATCTCATAACAAAAAATTCATAATCTGACGAAACGCGCACCGTTAATACCACATTAGTGAATTTTTATTTTATGAAAAAACAGCGTCGTTTGGACCCGTGTTCACCATCCAAGACATAATTTGCCCGGTTGGTTGGTGGTGAGACTGCAAAATGGGCATGCCTTTGCCAATGCCGATTGGACTGGGCCTCTATGAGTTGATTCAACGCCATATATTTCATGAAATGTTATGGGTACTGAATTTATAATATTAAAAAATTTAGAATAGTTGGTTAATCTTATTTTAACCTATATACGTAGAAAAAGAAAATGTTATCATTTTGAAAAATCAATTGCGGCCATAATTATGATAGTGCTGTTTGATATGACTGATGTTTGACTAAAAATAAAATGTATAGGACCACTTGTAGCATTCAAGTCTTCCGCTATGTAACGATTTGACTAACCAACACTGTGGCACATCAATTGGATAGACATTTTAATTTGGTCTCTTTAAAAAAAAAAAAAAAAAAAAAGCCGCTCTGACCTAGTGGATAAATTATAATTATCGTATATAAAATTTATGAGTTTAATTCTTGATAACACTTTTCTGATTGAGCTCATTGTATATAATTTTTTTAGTGCGATTAATTTTTTATGTGATTTACATGTTATTATCTCATGTATATTGTTGAATAGTAACTATGAATTTTTCTCTTGACCCTAATAATAATAATAATAATAATAATAATAATAATAATAATAAGCCGTGTCAATATGTGACAACTGCGATAACAATATTTGCTGTTTCCAAACAGTTTAAGATTACATCTCACACGCAATGTTAATGCCTTTAAATGTACACTAATTAACGTTATTTAATTGATTAGTTTGTAAATTTTGTAAGAGTTAATAAATATAATGAGTTTAAAGTAATGTTAGTAAAAGTAAATTTAAGTAAAAGGAATAGAAATTTTTTTAAAGGTTGATTGATACTAGTACCTATGATATCTAGTATCATCCCAAAAGGATAAGGAAGGTTTTGATTTTGTATGTCTCCATAATATTCAATACAAATTAAAGTCCTTTTACAAAATTAAAAGTCATTGAAATTTTTTTTTAAAAAAAAAAAAGAAAATTGAAAGAATGACAAAAAAACACTACAATTTTATACTTCATTTCTTGACATCCAAAGCATCTTACATAAGATGTCTCTTCATCTTTTTAAATAGGTAAATTGTCTGCGCATTTGTTACCCTCACAAAGCATATGCGAGACTATTACAATTGAACATTGTACAATCAATTCAAGTAAAGGGCTGAGACTTCTCTATTTATCTTTTTTTATTAAAAATCTTTTTGTAAATCTACTTTTATTTTATATTGATAAAGTTAGATCTATTTGTAAACATAAATATTTTTATAAAAAGTAATATAATATAATGCTTATCTATTATCAAGAAATTATCCGATAAGGAAATGACTCATCATGTGAGTAATTAAATATCATATGACCTTTAAAAAAAAAATATCATATGAAATTCATGGAAAAGCTAAAGGTAGGTTTAATGAACAATCGAAAAGAAAATCCTCCTCTTCACTGTCGATGTGCTTCTTTTAATGGTTCAATGAACCTTTTGATGTGTACAAGATAAAAGGAAAGTTGAATTTCCCCAACCAATCCTTGTCATCATTTTTTGGAAATAGTGATTGTATGACTGTATGTATGCCACAATATATATGCATAATTCATTGTGTATTGCTTGTCGGTTCAGTGAATCAACTTCACTATGTGTTTCACAAAATAATATATCTAAATAAATTATATGCAAATTACTAATATACTTTTGTTATCATTTTAAATAGATGGTCACAAGATTAAATTTCAGTAGTGAGTCATTGGTTTTTTAGGCAAAACATCCCTATTGAGAGAATTTTGATGAGCTTTTTAGGAGTTTTTACAAATCATGAATGGGTGTGACTCACGTGTTCAGCAGGTGCGTGCCTCTCATGTGGCCGTTGAGCAATTAGGCTTGTCCCTATTGAAGGAATTTTGATGAGCTTTTTAGGGATTTTCACAAATCAAGAATAAGTATGATTACGTATTCAGCAGGTGCGTGCCTCTCATATACATAGCCGTTAAACACATTAGAAAGCACGTGTCTGTTGAGAACATTAGGGTGATTGTCAAATTGTTACCACCACTAGTACAAAACAATTCATTAGCGTCTGTTGTTGGAAGTAATAGGCGTCTGTTCTACAACAGACTCCTATGAACCAGACGCTAACTTACGTATTCAGCAGGTGCGTGCCTCTCATATACCCGTTAAACACATTAAAAGGCACATTTCTATTGAGCATATTAAGGTGATTGTCAAATTGTTACCATCTAATTTTTCTGTTTATCCCATTTTTTTTCCACTTGGTTCCAAAATGCTACAAAAAACTCCAAAAATAAAACCCCATGAATAATCTTGCTCTTAATTATTTGGTGGATCTAAAAGGACTTTCCAAGCCACTTGGGACCTTGGAGTCTTGGACTGTACCCAACCTGAAAAGACAAGCTGCCATTAGACCTAAGTTGTTGTACATGGTTGAAAACAAAAATGTTTAAATATTAAAGTTTGAATAATATTTTTAGCATTGGTTGATAGTTGATGAACAATGTAATGCTTGCCAGCTATATATGTTTTGATAAGCACTCTAAGAAAAATGAAAGATATTTGGCTGTGCTTATTCTTATTATTTAATTATTTTTGGGGGGTTGTGCATGGTGATGGATGGCAATATGGCATATCCGCATATGTGATGTTTTGATTACTTTATATTTTAATTTGTTTAGATTGGTCATATTTATATGTATTAATTTCAAAAAAGCTGAATTAAATTGGATAAAAGAATTTAATAGAATTACATATGTTTATTTTAAAATAAGAATTCTTTAATTAATAAATATGTCCTATCACATTCTTGTCTTTTCCACTCGTTGTCATTGTCTTTTACCATTTATCTTATGATAAATGGATTATTTGATTTGGGCCACCCGGATTAATAGCACCCATGATCTGATGAATTATATTGATCTGGGTAGCCCGACTCAAATAACCCGATAATTAAATGAATACGTAAAAGACAAAGATAACGAGTATAAAGACAAGAATATTGGTCACGAAGACAAGTTAAAGTTTGTATTGAGACTTGAGTAATGCTATTACAAAAGAGTGAATGATGTCCTAATGAAACAATTAGCAACAATTTATATCTTACTTACTCCTAACTACTCCGCGAAAAACAGGTGGGAGGTTATAGCCGATTTTGACCACGCACCCCACCTCACCGGCCAAGGTCAAACACCCAGCTTGACCTCGGTGGCCAAGGGCCGGTATTGGGCTCGGCCTCAGATCGTCCATTGGGGTCCGGCACTGAGCTCGGCCCCGGGGCTCTGAGGTTGGTTGGTTTGCTCCACCGAGTTAATTTACTCCGAGTACATTTATAATATATCCATCACCGTACACTCGACACAGAACTTGTAGAAAGCATTATCCAAGAAGAAAACTCCACAAACCTCCATTACATTATCCAGCTAATAGAGCCAACAAAACAGTGCATAAATCTTGAATATTAGTTGATAGGTGATGGCAAGTATAGTATAGTAGCAATATAATTGGCAGCTATATATCTGATGACGATAAGTAGCCCTGCCAGAAAAAGAAATTTGGCTGCTTACCAACTTTTACCGCATTATATATATATATATATATATATATATATATATATATATATAGAGGCGGGTTCAGGTGCGGCAGTATCTTACGGTGCGGTTATTTCTTACAGTGCGGCAACACCAATAGTTCACCAAATATGCACCATCAACGTTAGGAAATACACCACACAAAACAGAGTAAACAGAGCCCTGCATCACCAAACACACACCATTAGGTGTGAGTAAAAACACCATACACTGTTCGGAAATACACCATTGAGGGTGGTGAGTTATATGGTGTGTTTTTTTGAGTCTGTGGTGTATTTTGTGATGTTTTATTACATTTCATTGGGGTGTGTTTTTATTACACTGTAACACTGTTGGTGCATATTGTTAACACTATTGGTGTATTCTGAAATTTGACCGCACCGCCGCACCGTAAGACCCCGCCGCATATGAGCGCTCTTCTATATATATATATATATATATATATATATATATATATATATATATATATATTCATTTACAGTTGTACGTACGTGTGTGTGCTGAAATGCGGCAGCTACAAGTGGTATGTGGAAAACAGCCATAGCCGTGCATGCATTGAACTTAGTTGAATGATCTGAGTTATATATATTATATATATTGCTCTCCTTTTCACTTTCCCACTTTGGATGTCATCTAGTTAATTAGAACAACTAAGTGTAACCTACCACTACTTTTTGGAGATTCCTCGTCATTTTTGCTTTCCAATGAGAACATGGATGTTTCCAGATAAAAAGTGATGATCGATTTAATCTTTCAGTTTGAGTGGATTATTAATAGTTAGGTTGATGGTTGTTAAAAAGTAAAATAAAAAAATGTGAGTTTATTAGTTTTATAAATATTATAAATGTGAAATTTTGTAGTAATTATAAAATTGATCTCATGTATGTTTTCTTTTATTAAAATCATCATCCATTATATATTATTGTTTCCTCCCAAATGCTGGCAAATTATGCCCCGGACCCGTGTCCACAATGAATTGTGGACAGCCCAAAACGATGTCATTTTTTTTAAAAAAAAAACGCGTCATTTAGTTTTAAAAAAAAAATCGCGCGTGTTTTGCCGTTAACGGCGTTATTTTTTTTGGATTATGAATGTACAGTTATGCCGTTATGAATGTACAATTATGCCGTTATGAATATACAGTTATGCAATTATGAAATCATGAACACAGAGCTCTAACATTATGAACTTACAATTATGAACATATAGTGATAAAATTATGACCATGGAGCTTTAAAATTGTGAATATAGAGCTTCGAAGATTATGAATGTACAGTTATGGAGTTATGAATGTACAGTTATAGAGTTATGAATCTACAGTTATGAGATTATGAATCTACAGTTATGGAATTAAGAATGTACAGTTATTGATCGAATTATGAACAAAGAGCTCTGACATTATGAAATTACAATTATGAACATATAGTGATAAAATTATGAACATAGAGCTCTAAAATTGTGAACATAGAGCTTCGAAAATTATGAATGTACAATTATGGAGTTATGAATGTACAGTTATGGAGTTATGAATGTACAGTTATAGAGTTATGAACGTACAGTTATGGAGTTATGAATGTACAGTTATTAACATATAGTAATAAAATTATGAACATATACTCCTATAACGAAGCGGTCTGATTTTTTTTTTTAAAAAAAAAAAAAAAAAAAAAAAAAGATAACAGTGCCTAACGGCACTGTTACCCGTGTCCAGCATGCATGCTGGACATGGGTCCAACGCATAACGATTGCCCAAATGCTCTGTCGGGCCGGGTGTGAGGGGCCCTTAAGGTTGGGGTTCAACATTTTGGAAGAATTACTGTTACCCCACTCTCATTTGAACTCCATAAATATATATATATATATATATATATATATATATATATATATATATATAAGTATAGAACCATGCATGGACATATCAATATTTGGCCCACACATGTAAGAGGTGTGTTGTGTGTTGAGTATAATATACTCCGTATATACAACCATAAATATATATGTAGTATCACTATTGGCTTAATTAAATTTTTTTAATTAAGATGAAACACACCCTTTAATTACTAAAACTATATCTTGTCAAACTCACTAAACTTGTTCACCATAAAATTTAAATTCTTGTTTTTTTTTTTTTTTGAAAGTTAAAAGCCTTAAAAGTTTTAATTTCCCTAATAAAACATGAAAGTGAGATTTTGCTATTCAGTCTAAAATGAAACTTCGTAATAATTATATCATCTTCTTTTTTTTTTTTTGTGATGAAAAAAATTCACAATCATTACCTGATTGTGTATATCAAGTAGTCTGCAAACTACATATGAGAGATAAATCACAATAAAAAGACCCTATATGAGACGGGTTCGACTTAATGGATGACAAACATGGTGTTCTAATATGGATACATGTTCTTGTTTGGAATAGTTAGCTTGGTGTTGTCTAGGTGCTTCCCCTCATGGTCCCATAAAAGAAAAGAAGAAAGTTTCTTGGTGTCTCTATTATGCATGAAACGTTTTTTTGTCTTCTCTTCAATTCATGCATGTTATGCAATGATATGAATTGAACTATACCTACAATCAATAATTTTATTATTGATAATCAAACTTAAATACCTTTCTCCCCAATATTAAGCTACAAACAACACATGTAATGTTAGAGGGCAAGCTATATATATAACTATCTATATATAATATCTATCTATATATAATATATCTATTATTGATAGATTTTTTTTTAAATCTATATTACAAATGTATTGAGTGGACTTTGAATAGGAGACTTCTAATAGAACAAGGGTTTTAAATATCATTGGACCATATAAGTTTTTAATATTATTATTGATTTTATTTTTGGTTATGGACCTATAGTCCGTTGCAATTAATCGTATTAATTTCTATAGATTTTTTTTTTTTAAATTTGACAATTGAGAATGAAATTCAATTGAAATGAAATCGAAAACTAACTAGTTCAAATTGATGGGATTGATTTGATTTTTGGTGTTTGGACTTATAGTTTGTTACAATTTTTTTTTTTTTAAAAAATTGACAATTAAAAACATAATCCAGTTTGAACCAACTCATTTAAATTGACGGGATTGATTTGATTTTGGTGTTTGGATAGTTGTAATTAATCCTATTAATTTCTATTGATCTTTTTTATTTGACAGTTAAGAACATAAATCAATTTGAACCAAACCAGAAACTAACTGATTCAAATTCTTGGGATTGATTTGATTTTGGGGTTTGAATTGCTGTAATTAATCCTATTAGTTTCAATAGACTTATTTATTTGACAATTAAGAACATAATTAAATTTCAATGGCGCACACCTCTGATTACCGTATTCAATTAAATTGATTAGACTTGTTGGCATAGTTGCACATTAATTTGATGCAAATAATAATTAGCAGTTGCGTAGGTTAAAGGCCTTGCATTTATAATGCATGAAAACTTACATGAGAACAAGAAACCATGAATTTAATGCCAACTTGTACATGCCATAAATTAAAATCAAAGCAATTTCTTTCCGTCTCTATACAACAATACTACATTATACAGAGTAATCAATGGAAACTCTGGGCTACACAAAAAAAAAAAAAAAAAAAAAAAAAAAAAAGACTTTTATCTCGAATCCGTCGCACTAAATCTTCGTAATATGATTTACCTCTTCTATGTAGTTTGGAGCTATTAAAATTTGATTAATTTTTGTTGTAGCATAATTTCTTTTAAACTTTAAAAGGGTCTGAATTGTTGTGAGACTAATATGGATTCAGCCAACCACCTTTTACTAGTATTGTACCTCCGACTTTGCTAGTGACATCGAGAACGTTAAGGTTCACCATGTCAAGCGGTCAGCGAATCACGTGGCTCATGTATTGGCACGAGCAACGGATTCTGGGTATGTCCTAGGGTTGTGGGATGTTTGTCCACCCCCTTGTATCTCTGCATTGTTGATTTAATCTAAAGTTTCCCTTTTACTTTCAAAAAATAGCCATAAAATGAGTGATTGAGTAGGTGGAATATGATTTTCGTACCAAAAGGTTCAGAGTAAAATTCTTGTCAATACCCTATCGGTTGAACTTGTCGCGTATAATTTTTCTAATGTGATTTATTTAAGGTAAAAATTAGACGTGCATTCATGTTTCCTCGAGTATAGGGTGATTTGGGTGAAAAAAAAGTTGACTAATTAAGGTTGCTAAATTAATTAGATAGTCCTTCATGACATATTACATATTAAATTTTGTTTGGCTCTAAATAAGCATCCATATTGGATTAAAATTTGAGTTTTAAGTTATATTTGGTCCTTCCACATTAATAATTAGATTTTTTACTTTTGATCCTCAACTTTGATTTGTTTTACTTATAGTTCTTGGTTTTAAACAATACTAGTATTTGTCCCCGTGCGATGCACGGAATGAATTTGTTGTAATATATTAAAAGTATTTGGATTGATATATAATTATTTAAATTAAAACACCAAATATTATATAGTGCAATTGAATAATTGAGTTGGATCGATTATGTTTTCTGATGTTATTAATGCTTGAATTCGAACAAATAATTATTCAATTAATAGCCAACGTGTAGATGTACGCATCCGGTGCTGAAACTTTAGAGATTTTATATAGCAGTGTTTATGATTTGTATTAATTGGTCTAATTAGCTCGTTGTCTAGCTTGCAACTCAGTTATATAAATTATTTGTATAGAATATACAACATACAACATAAATATTAATATTAATTGATATTCAATGTAATATCACAAAAATAAAGTGATATTTAAATAATATATAAATGCAATATGTACCTTAGAGTCATGAAATAAGCACTCTAGAGTTTGGTGGTTGACGCCTTAACGGCTGTGCGTTGATATTCTCTGGACAAATAACAACGCGTCAACTGAAGGTCTATAAAGCTTTTCCTTGTCTTGGAAGATAGATCAAAAGCAGTGACAAAATTTAACTTCATTACAAAACAATAGAGAGAAAGTTGAGAAATATAAGAGAAGAATTAAAAGTATATAATGGTAGAAAAGAAATGAGTTTGTGATCATTTTATATTCAGGAAATACATATCAATATCAATTTGTCTATACTATAATTATTAAATATTAATTATTACTATTTATTAATATAATTAATTAATTATTATTTAATTCATATAATTATCATAATATAATTGCCGATTATATATTTCCAGTGAAATATTAATATATATTCATTTCGTTTTCTAATATTTCATTTCCTTTTGAATATGTTCATTTCTTTTTTCCTTCATACAAAGAATAAATATTGATTGCCATATTTTTTTCCTTCATAATTTTTTTTAATATTTTATTTGTTGGTTACTAATTTTTTGGTAGGAAAAACTGTGTTATATTTCCAGTAAAATTTTAATATATTCATTTTGTTTTCCCCAGTATTTTATTTCCTTTTGAATATATTCATTTCCTTTTCCTTCCTAAAAGGAATTAAAATTGATTTTCGTTCCTTTTTTCTTCATAATTTTTTCTTAATATTTCATTTGGTGGTTACTAATAACATATTCCCATGTGTAATATTTATTTATTTTTTCGTTCATAAAAAGTATTAATATTTATTTTCATATAACTAAAAAATAATATATTTATAAAAATATAATTACTGATTATGCTTCCAGTGAAATATTAATATATTCTTTTCCTTTTTCCTTCATAAATAATTAATATAATTATAATAATATAATTTGCTGATTATATTTCCAGTGAAATATGAATATATTCATTTCATATTTTCTTCATTCTTTTTTCTTTCATAATATTTCATTTGGTAGTTACTACTTTTTTTGAAGGGAAAATTTGTATTACATTTGCAATGAATTTTTAATATTAATTTCCTTTTTCATTTGGCCTGATTCCCATACCAATTATTAACAGAATACTAATAATAGATTCTTGTGTGTAATATTCATTTTTTTTTCATTCATAAAACGAATTAATATTCATTTTCATATAATTTAAAAGTAATATACTTATGAAAACATAATTGCCGATTATATTTTCAAAGAAATATTAATATATTCATTTCCATGCATGGCATAAAATTTAAATAACTTTATTCTACAAAATGTTTAAAAAATTATAAAATCAAATAATAATCATCACAACATACTATTACCATATATTATAAGGCATTGTGTTATTAAATATTACATGAGATTTAAAAAGTTTACAGAAATGAGCGCTCGTGTCGCCAGAATAAGGCACCACAATAATTATAGAAATGAGCAGCATCCTCAAGGTCCAAATAGGAATCCAATTACATAAATAGTTTATTATTAACACATATTATTGGTTGTTTGATGAAATTGAATATATCTAAGAGTTGTGAGTTCATAAAAAATGACCATATCCGTTATTTTCAGATACGAATTGTTTGAAATCCGTATTTTGTTCTTGACGATGTTGTACTGGAAGTTCTCACAATCGACCACAAACCACGATTAGAATGATGATGTGGTGCTTTTTGCACTTTAAAAAACATAATTAACTGTTAATTATTGCACTTTAACAAAATAGGAATAACCAAGATTGTAAAAATTGTGAACCGTGTAATCTAAATTACCGTTTGATACATCAGCTAATGGTGGACGATCGAATATCACTGTTCAATGCGTATAAATTTGGGTTGCTAGCAACTGCAAATAGAGTTAACGCGTACAAATCAAACAATGGTTAATTAAATAAAATGATATTAAAAAATTCTATAGTATTGAAAGATAAAATGATATTTTAAATATAACATATACCATTTGTGATTGCACTCAATGGTGTTCCTCTGGTGGTCACATGATTATCTTCGAACAAACTTTGATGAACATTAACTATTGCAAAAAAAGATTCGTAAAAATATAATTGTTTAAATAATTCTCATAGAATAGATTCTACTTAGACAGAAATATGAATGAGTCTCTGAATTGTAATAATTTTGAAAATAATAATAACAAATAAATGCATGGTAATTAATATGAACATGTTAATTGTAAGTAATCAATAATTTGTAAGAAAAAAAAAATAACTGTATTTATTAAAATGTAAAAGTTATTACAAATAATGTGAACGTTAAAATTGAATACCATTGCTAGATATATTAATCGGTGTTCTTGGAGAAGAAATCATAAATCCACCATACAACAGTTCATTACCTGTCACTGCAATTATTTATATGAAGTTAAGAAATTTAAAAATGATACAGTAAAATACTTACAAATGATTGCGATACAAAATTATATTTACCAATCATTGTTGGGGTGACTGGTATAACTGATGGTGCACCAATAGTTGATTGTAATGATGGTTGAGCATTATCAACCGATATATTTGATCGCAACAACGATGCTTGTGTATTATTATGATTACACAACGGCTCGTTTTCTAAAAAAAATGAAATGACAAAGTTTAAATTATTGTGAAGGAATAACTAATAATGACAATAAAAAAAAATTTTGTTTAGTACCAAAAATTGAATACTATAAATTATTTAGATATTTATTAATTAACCATTTCTATATTACATTTTTTTATTACATATACACCAATAAAAAAGGCAACCCCAATACAATAGTTTCCGAAATTGTAAAAGTTTTTAAGAAGCAGTAGGCCATTCCCAG